CGCCGCGCGGCAGAGGGATGGGGTTCGGGGATGGGGGGGCGCTCCCTAGCACACACAAGAGTAGTGGCGGCTGTCGGGGAAATGGAGCCTGGGAGGCGGGATGGAGCGACCTGGGACCTAACTGCTGTCCCTCCCCAGTCCTGTTGGCTAGGTGCGTGCGTGGGCATTTAATCAGAGACCCAGTAGTACCAGCCTCTATTTTCCCCATCCTCCGGAAGTCAGGGCAAAAGCGATGACTGCTGGGACACCATTACCTCTGGATGGATAACGACCCTGTGTTATTGCCAGAAATAACCTGATCTTGAATTCTGGTTATAACTTCTCAGAATTCAGGCTAGAAGTAGCGCCTTACTTCCTGACACTGTTAAGGAAACCTGGTCGCTGTCTCCCTCCCCTACTCTGTTCAAAAAGTATTGATTGATTATATGTCTCAGCTATGAGGAACATTAGGGTCTTGAAAGATCTTTTAGTCAGAATTCACAGGCACTACTACACACCTAAAAAACTTCGAATATGATTGTGATTGGAAAGAAGTGGCAGGCTTACCCTCTAAGGGCTGTGGGCCTCTTTCACTTTTCCAAGCATCTCTTCTCACCACTCGTGCCCCACTCCTGGACCCCATGCTGTAGAACTCTATGGCTAGAAAAGTGAATAGGAAGAGGAACGCGGCCAGGGAGGGATGGTTGGGTAGGAGGTTCAGAGGTAGCAGGGCGGCAGGCTACAAGGGCGCTGCATAACTCAACCCCCAACCTCCACCCCCATTCTTTTCCCCACTTCCAAATCCACCGAGAGGAAAGCCCAGAGGAGATGATGCCAAACCGCTTTGATCAAGGAAGACTGAATGACAGGGCCCATTTAGCAGTTTCGTTTTGAGGCCCAGGAGAGGTGGCTAGTAAAGAAGTCTTTTTGGCTGAACCATCAGAGCCAAAAGGAAGAAAGGAACTCAGAGAAACTGCAATAAAAGAGCAGGAAGAACATAGGTGTAGATATGCTGGGTTAGATGAGGTAAAGCCAACATGCCTGAGCAGTTTCATTTGCTCTTCCCATAATGTCCAAGGTTTCCTAAAGAACGGCTCTGACGGGACCCCCTGGCATGGCAATATTGGGGCAGATCTTCACTTCCATGAGGAAGCCACATTTTGAATTCAGAGATGGGGGCCCCGTCTCCCTGGGAGTGAGATTGCCTCCTTTGACAACCCCTACATACCCCTTGTGCCGCCAGCCCCAGCTTGACTGTACCCTCCTCCTGCCCCTAGTAGGGGCCCTCTTCCTTGGCTTCAGCCTTGCCCAGCTGCCAGAGGGTGGGAGCAGGACAGGTCTGGGCCCATCAGTTGCTGCAGCTGCTGCACAGGCTCCCAAGCCCCTGGGCAAAGACTGGGATGGGCCCCAACAGGCAGGGAGTGTGGCAGCCTGCCGAGGGGGAGAGGTGGGGCGGGCCCGTTGGGATCTGCTCCCCAAAGACAGGCCCTAGCCCTCACTCATGGGCCTGGAATTGGGGAGTGGAGGGAGGGAAGAACACACCCAGGAAAGGCGAGTCCCAGAGCCAGGTGTATATATCTTAGCGGGGGACTTTGGAGAATAGCAAGCAGTTCAGTTCTGTGTTCTTCCCAAGATAGAAGGTGACTAGGAGGCATCAGGGGCTCTGCTACTCTCCCTGCTTTCCTGTTCAACCCTGGTTCCTGGAACACACCCTACATTCTCAGCAGTCACCTCCCCACAGGAGTCATGCTCACATGGTCCCCTCTGCACAGAGCCCTCTGCTGAGCCAGATCCTTTTCTCCATCCTTGGAAGTCTGCAGCAGAGAGAAATCATTCTATAACTGAACAGCTCGTTTGACTGACGGGAACCTGAAGTCCCAGAGAGGCTTTCTGGGCCTAGCCTGCTTTCTCTAGAAAGTTTTTTCAAGTCTGCTGCTGAGCACCTGTGGACCGGCATCTTTGGCCATTCATCCTACACACTGCAACAGAGATCATACCTTGCCTGTATAATCTTCTCCCCAACAGAAACTAAGCATCTGAATGCCAGGGACCATATCTCTGACCTTCTCCAGGTTTCCTCAGGTAGTGGTGCTGTGTTAAGCACAAAATAGATGCTCAGAAAATATCTGTTGAGTAATTAAACAAGAATGGATCTGCTCAACCAAGATCTTGCTACATGTCATTACTTCTTATCTTCTCTTCTTAGAAGGGAGCCCATCAAAGGGAGACTGTGACCCCTGGCACATCAGGAAAGGGCAGTCAGGAAAGCTTGGGAATCTCTGGTTTTGACCTGGGGGAGTAGAGTGTGACACTCTTTTCTCTTCTCAGGCACCTGTATCAAGTGCAACAAAGGCATCTATGGGCAGAGCAATGCTTGCCAGGCCCTGGACAGCCTCTACCACACCCAGTGCTTTGTCTGCTGCTCTTGTGGTGAGTGTAGCCCCAACACTCAAGCACTCCCCTCCCCTGCCCACATACACACAAGTGCTATAGGGAACAGGAGGAGAGCTTTTGCCTCTTCATTTGCTCACAGAGCAGCTGTTGGATCCCCACCAAGTGTCTGGAGGTCCGCAGCTGCTCCGCCCCTCTTGCTTCCTTGTCTGCCCTCTACTTGGCTCTCCCTTCCCCTGGTGGGTCTCCTTTCTGGAGTCCCTCCTTCCTTCCTTACCTCCGTTTCTCCTTCTCATGCCTCCTTGCTTGCCCATCCTGGACTCGCCTGGCCCTCCAGCTTCTTGGTGGGGCTTGGTCTTGGGCAGCCAAGTTGCCTGGGGCGACAGTGAAAGATTGGAATGTGGGGAGGGTGGGGGCAGGCTGGGGGAGTGGGGAGCTGCTGGGGGCGGAGAGGGGGGTTTTCTCTTGGCTGGTCAGAGTTCAGCCACCTCACTAGAGTGCAGGCCACCGGGCCATGCCAAGCTGATGACATCACGCTCCAGGAATGCCTGCCACTGTTAGCTCAGGAGGCCCACTTGGAAAGGGGGGATGCTCCCAGCGGCCTTAACTGCCCCCTCCCCTCCCTCGTTACCCCCTCCTCACTGCTTACCCATTCTGATTCCTTTGCTAAACCTTTAATCTCCTATCTCTGCCTGTCTGACTTCAGCACTCAGCTTTTCTCACTCCCCCAGTTTCTGCCTGGTTCTCTTTAGGCTCATCTGTCTGTCTATCCTTCTGTTTACAGGGCCTCTTCTGGCTATATCTCTTTCCCTCTCTTTCCTCCCCTGTGTCTCATGAGCTTCTAAGTCAGCTTTCCTAACCCACTGGACAGAATTGGAAGTGGGGATTTTGAGGGGAAGAAGGCAAAGGTGGGAAAATTGCTCATGCTCCACCTGTTCTCACTCCTCCCCTATCCCTGATAATGTAGACACCTGGGAGCAGTTCCTGGGGGTTGGTCACATGGGGAATGGTCCTGCCTTGTCTGCTAGAAGAAGATCCTGGGTTGTCTCTTACCCTAGAGACTCTGGGTCCCTCTAAGCTTAGGGAGGCAGCCTTAAACAAACAGGAAAGGGGACCTGCTTTGCTTCCAAACAAAGCACTTTGTCCTGCAGTAACTCCAGTCCTGACCTCCATAGAGTCTGTCCCTGGAAGGAGACAGATAGGCCTTTGAGAGCAGGATAGACATGCTCAGGTGAAGAGGCTTCTAGGTTGAAGGGTCCCAGAGGGCAAGGCCTGTAACAATGTGATTCTCTCTATGTAAATCATATAGTACCTTATTAAGAGCTCATGTATTCCAGCATGTAGTTGGCTTTACTCTCCCAGGTGGCTTCCTATGCACTGGAGAGGAAGGCAGTTTGTTTAGGGGAGGGCCCTAGAAAACTGTTAAGGAGGCAGGAGCTGGAGGAGCAGCAAGCAGAAGAGAGGGGAAGTTGGCTGGAATGAAGCCAAAGCAAATTGGAATTGCATCAGATGGAATTTTTGTGTGGGGAAGAAGGACAGACAGCAGTTAGGAGGAAAAGTACAAAGTCCAGGTTTAAATATATTATGCAGCACTGGGGAGCAGTGACCCCAGAAGTCTTGCACCTGGGCTGTGGGATAGGTTCCAGCCCCTTTTCTGCTGTTTCTAGGGCGAACTTTGCGTTGCAAGGCTTTCTACAGTGTCAACGGCTCTGTGTACTGTGAGGAAGATTATCTGGTGAGTAAGGGTCACCTGGACCTGGAATTGGTTTCCATACTGACCCCCTTCTTGGTGGCCCACTGGAGTACCACCCATCATTCTCAGTTTGATAACAGCCTCCCTTTGTCTTGTCTTTTACTTTAGTTTTCAGGGTTTCAGGAGGCAGCTGAGAAATGCTGTGTCTGTGGTCACTTGATTTTGGAGAAGGTAAGTAAAGTGCCTTCAGCTGAGAACTCTCACTGTGAGGCTGAGGAGTGGAATCAGGGACTAAATGGATACTGAGAGAAGGTTGGGGGAAGAAGCCTGTCACCAGATGAATCACTTTCATCCCATTCCTCCCCAGAGCAGCTGTTTACCGTGGCTTCCCTCTGCCTATGGAATCAAGTCTGGGCTCAAAAGCCTGTCAACCCAGGCTTCTGTAACCTGGCCCCTTCCTAATTCTGCAGGCACAGCCAGGCCTTCCAGCCTGAGCTAGGAGTGTGGGGTCCTGAGTCTTTTTATTTATTTATTTATTTATTTATTTATTTATTTATTTGAGACAGAGTCTCACTCTGACATAGTGGCATGATCTTGGCTCACTGCAACCTCTGCCTCCCAGGTTCAAGTGATTCTAGTGCCTCAGCCTCCCAAGCTAGGACTACAGGCGTGCGCCACCATGCGTGGCTGATTTTTGTATGTTTAGTAGAGATGAGTTTTGCCATGTTGGCCAGGCTAGTCTCGAATTCCTGGCCTCAAGTGATCCTCCTGCCTCAGCCTCCCAAAGTGCTAGATTACACACATGAGCCACTGTGCCCAGCCTGGGGTCCTGAGTCTTAATCCCCTTTCTGCTACTGGTTAGAATCACTTGGGACTCAGTTTTATTTTCTATAAAAAGGAGAGATAGGATTAAATCAGTGATTATCAATCATGGTAGCCTAGCAGATCAGCTGGGAAGAACTAAAAAAAAAAAACAAAAAACAAAAAAAAAGTGTTTGGATCCCATCACCAGAGATTGTGATAATAGGCCTGGAGGAGGGCCAAAGCGTTGATGTTTTTTAAAAGCTCCCTAGATGATCCTGATATGCAGCCAGAGTTAAACACTACTGGCCTGAATGCTCTCTCAGGCATTTTTCAGGGTTTCTGCCTCCATTTTAAGACTTCTTCCCCCACATTACATAGCATTGTTTCTAGGAGTATAGCAGCGGGTTGGATGAGGTTAATGGGAGTAATAAGGAGCATAATGGGCAGCTGGAGAACTGAGACTGGAGGGAGACTGATTCTCTTGCTACCCCATGAGCCAGATCCTACAAGCAATGGGGAAGTCCTATCACCCAGGCTGTTTCCGATGCATTGTTTGCAACAAGTGCCTGGATGGCATCCCCTTCACAGTGGACTTCTCCAACCAAGTATACTGTGTCACCGACTATCACAAGTGAGTCCACCCCTTGGGATGCAGTGTGGAACTGGGTCCAGGGGTTCCCCAACCTCAGCTCATCTTTTCCCTCTGTCTTTCAGAAATTATGCTCCTAAGTGTGCAGCCTGTGGCCAACCCATCCTCCCCTCTGAGGTCAGTATGTCTGGGTTCTCCTTCAGGGCAGCCAGTGCCACTGCCTCTGGCGTAGGGTTAGGGACATGCTGCCTGGCCTCCTGCCGGAAGCGGTAGTGCCAAGGAATGTACTCTGTGAAGATTCCCGTGTGACTCTGCCTCTTGGGGTCACCACCCTGACCCTAACATCCGGGCCTGGACATGTCTGAAAGCCTAACTGGGCCCAGGCTCTATCTCTTCTATCCCAGTCCAGAGGAGGAGACTTTCTTTGAGGTTGAGGTCACCAGACTGCAGATGTAGGGACTGGAAAAAGGGAAGAATCCTCAGCACTGGTAGGAATGGGTCAGAAATGATTTAAGCTGTGTGTAGAGGATGTACCTACGGAGAGAAGCCAGATCTTATTGGATTCCCTTGTTCCCAGCCTAGCCTACTTTATTTATGCCTCCTGTCCCTTTCCTTCCCCCACAACTGGGAGACGCAGGTAAGGCCAGGGCTCTTGTACAGAGGGAGTGTGCTACATGGGGGCAGCCCAGTGAAGGAGATAAGGAGAGTTCTGGTAGGATTTGCAGAGGCATCTTAAAACTACAGGTGATTGCAGAGAGACTCTGGGGCCATTTGTATGATCTTCCCATGGGGTGGGAAGGGTTATATATGAGGGAGGTGGAGGTGAAGCAACATGCTGCTCTCATCTCCATGGGGGTCTGCATGTTTCAGGGCTGTGAGGACATCGTGAGAGTGATATCCATGGACCGAGATTATCACTTTGAGTGCTACCACTGCGAGGTGAGTGTTGGGGTTCAGCGGTGCTGGAGAAGAAGTGGAAATGGGAAGAGGGTAGGAGTCAAGTCCTGCAACAACCAGACATCTATAGGAGAGGTGTAGGGCATGGGAAACCAGAAAGATACTGTGACCTATCTTCAGCCTTTTTTTTTTGTCCCCTCCAGCCACTTTCTCTGGTCCAAGTTGCTTAGTCCTTTCTGAATCTGACTCTCCCAGAGTCAGGACTTTCTAAGAGTAGCGAGTCTGGTCAAACTGCTGTAAAGACTGACTTGTGTCATTATTTCTGCTGCAGCAGCGACACCTGGTGTCCAGCTGAGGTATTAATATTTTCTCAGATTGCTCTTCCATCCTGCCCTTCCCACCCCATCCCTTTCTTCCAGTTACTAGGAGTCAGGTGTTGAGCAGGGCAGACTCCTAAGATGCCCTCAGTATCCAAGGTGCCTGGGCTGAGGTGAACTAGGTGCCTTCTTCCCTAGGACTGCCGGATGCAGCTGAGTGATGAGGAAGGCTGCTGCTGTTTCCCTCTGGATGGGCACTTGCTTTGCCATGGCTGCCACATGCAGCGGCTCAATGCCCGACAAGCCCCTGCCAACTATATCTGAGCTGCAATCACTGCTGCTGCTGTCACCACCACTGACAAACTGCTCTGGCCAGTGGGCTCCTCTGAGGCCAGCCAAGGCAAATAATGCACTCTACAGACCTGGCAAAAGAGTCCTCTGGGGAGGACCCCAAGGACTGGAGACCCAAAGATCATGACATTCCAAATGGATTGTGGAAGAGAAACCTTATATTTACCAGGGTGGGGGTGACTGGCCTTTTTCCGATGTGTGCATCCTGAGCTTAGGCACACACAGGAGGGTTCCAGTACTTTCTGAACATCTGATTCTGTATCTTCAGTATATATATTTTGTTTGTTTTAGAGATGGGATCGCACCATGTTGCCCAGGCTAGTCTTGAACTCCTGGGCTCAAGTGATCCTCCCACCTTGGCCTCCCAAAGTGCTGGGATTACAGGCATAAGCCACTGTGTCTGGCCTAGTATATGATTGTGCATGAGTCACATAATGTTCTGGTCCCGGATTCCAAGAGTAGAGGACCTAGCTTTAAATCAACTAGTTTCAGCTAAACTAACTAGAACCAAATCAAAGTGTAATTCTCCCTCCAGCTCCCCCAAACCCCAGAGTTTTGGGGTTGTGGTTGATGCAGGATGGGATCCCCCTGAGAGGCAGCAAGTCTAGGGTGGTGAGTTCCTGCTAGGCAACCAAATTTAAGCTCCTCACTTTTTTTGTGACACATGGTGTCAGATATGGGGTCTCGCACCTATATCTGGATGAAGAAGTAGAAACTCTGGACCTCATTAATGAGTTATTTATTGGCCTTCTTCTAAGGACTAGGAGAGCTCCTCATGTGTCTGCTGAGAATGGGGACCAGCTCTGAGTGGGGTTGCTGCCTATATTCCCTGTTTCTCAGGGACTCACGTGGGTCTGGGGAGGCTAGGTAGGTGCTTGTACGTGGTTGCTCTTCTCCTTGGCTATGGTAGGTAATAAGCAGGTCTGTGTGGGTCTGGAGCTTGTTGTGAGGATGTCTAGGAAGCTTCAGCTTAGCTACACTCCCAAGTTTAGGTGCACTGAGCCATACAGCCCAGCGTATGCATGTGTGGTTGTGTTCATGTGCGCGCGCGCGCGCGCGCGCACGCACACACACACACACACACACACACTCTCTTACTCTCTTCTCAGGTCACTTGTACACTTGGTTTCCTAGTAGAATCTCACTTGCCACCTCTCAGAGGGGTCCTGGATTGCATCCATCACAATCCCAAAACTACAGTTGGGGGGAACTGGAGGGAGCAAAACACTGATTTGGTACTAGTCAGTTTGCCTGAAACTAGTTCACCTAAAGCTAGATCTCTTAAAACCAATTTACTGAAAACTTGTTTGCTTAAAGTTAATGACTTAATGACTAATTTGCCAAAAGCTCAATTCGTATTTTGGTGTGTTTATATCCATTTAGGTGTCCTATTCTTTTTTGTCTTGCTTTGGATATTTCAAGGATTTATATCTATTCATCCAAGAGTACTTCTGAGTTATTATCAGCAACATAAATTTATCAAATTTGCAGCACTTTGTAAATGATGAGATTGCTTCCTACCTTTATGGATGTCTTTTTCTATGTTATCTACCTTTCAAAAACTTTTTTAAAAAGTTTAAAGTTTCTAGCAATAAATACAATTGGTACAGGCATTTTGTGTATCATTTTTTTTGTTTCTTAATCCAATATTCCTTTACAAATTAAATGCCTTGAAAAATGTAATGGAGTTCAATGTGATTTTGATGCTTTGGTCTAACTTCTACATTCCTACTGTTAAAAGGCCAGTATATCTTAAACAAATGAATAGGCATGAGGCATATTCGGTTGACTTACAATGAAAAGTTATACAGACAACAGTAGTAACTAACAGGGTGAATCTGCTAAACCCTTTTGAAATGCTGCAGATTTGATAAATATTTATTTTAGACTAATTGGTTTTAGGGGAATTGGTTTTAGGCAAATTAATCTAGTAATCTTTGATCTTTAGTCCTCATTTTCTATCACTCAGTGAGTTTCATACTGGAAATGATGACTCCTGACAACAGAAATTCCACATTTGGGGGCTATTCTAAGATGACTATGCCAGCCAACCTGGGAAATACATAGAGGAGATCTCTGAGTGAGAGGGAAAGAGTTCAGATTTATACAACTGAGTGCCAGAGGGGAAAATGCACCTTGTTGAAGTGAGAAATGTTCTGAAACTGAATTACTTCTTGTACAGCTGAGATCGCTTCTTCTGTACTGTTGTTAAATAAGTGAATACAAAGGCCCTGTGATGGGAAATCCAGACAAGCTTGTGTAACTTTACATCCATCCCCTCAGGTTTTTTGTTTTTTGTTTTTTGTTTCTTTTCCTTTTCTTTTTTACAGAATCTCGTTTTGTCGCCCAGGCTGAAGTGCAATAGTGCAGTGGTGCGATCTCAGCTCACTGCAACCTCTGCCTCCTGGGTTCAAGTGATTCTCCTGCCTCAGCCTCCTGAGTAGATGGGATTATAGGCAGGCGCCACCACACCCGGCTAATTTTTGTATTTTTAGTAGAGACAGGGTTTTGCCATGTTGGCCAGGGTGATCTCAAACTCCTGAGCTCAGATGGTCCGCCTGCCTCAGCCTCCCAAAGTGCTGGGATTACAGTTGTGAGCCACTGAGCCCCACCTCTTTTTTTTTTTTTAAAGTTGGGAGTCTTGGCCAGGCACAGTGGCTCATCCCTATAATCCCAGCGCTTTGGGAGGCTGAGGTGGGAGGATCATGAGGTCAGGAGATCAGGACCATCCTGGCCAACATAGTAAAACCCCATCTCTACCAAAAATAAAGTTAGCCAGGCATGGTGGCATATGCCTGTAGTCCCAGCTACTTGGGAGGCTGAGGCAGAAGAATCACTTAAACCCGGGAGGTGGAGATTGCAGTGAGCCATTGCGCCACTGCACTCCAGCCTAGGCAACAGAGCAAGGTTACATCTCAAAAAAAACTGGGCATGGTGGCTCATGCCTGTAATCCCAGCACTTTGGGAGGCGAGGCAGGTAGATCACGAGGTCAGGAGATCAAGACTATCCTGGCAAACACGGTGAAACCCCGTCTCTACTAAAAATACAAAAAATTAGCTGGGCGTGGTGGCGGGCGCCCTGCAGTCCCAGCTACTCAGGAGGCCGAGGCAGGAGAATGGCGTGAACCCGGGATGCAGAGGTTGCAGTGAGCCGAGATTGTGCCATTGCTCTCCAGCCTGGGTGACAAAGCAAGGCTCCGTCTCAAAGGAAAAAGAAAAAAGAGTTGGGAGTCTCACACTCTGTCACCCAGGCTGGAGTACAGTGGCACAATTATGGCTCACTGCAATCTGTGCCTCCCAGGTTCAAGCAATTCCCCTGCCTCAGCCTCCCAAGTAGCTGGGACTACAGGTATGCACCACCATGCCTGGCTAAGTTTAAAAAAATTTTCTTAGAGACAGCATCTCGCTATGTAGCCCAGGCTGGTCTTAAATTTCTGGCCTCAAGTGATCTCCCACCTTGGCCTCCTAAGTCACTAGGATTAGAAGCATGAGCTGCTGTGCCCAGCTCCTGACCCTTTGTTTCTTACTGATTTTGGCCTCTTCTGTTCCTGGTCTGACTCATTCGTTTCTAGGTCTGTGCTGATTGTCCTAGCCTCGGGGCTCCCCAACATTCTGTTCTTGCCACTGACGCAACTTCTTCCTGAGGAAAAATAAATGATAACAGCTGATAAGGGCAGGCCATGACAAAAGAGCAGTGCCAGCCACCCCAACACCATCACTGGCAGGCTCCCAGATGTATCCTTCATCACAAGAGCTTCCCTTCCTCCTATTTGCTGGGAGACTGATCTTCCTCAATATTTCTGTTTAGTATTTACAGTTTTTTAGTATTTACAGTTGATGATGAAAGATTCGTGGGGTGCTGCCAAGTATACATCAAAAGGTAGACCTTGTTTGGCCAACTTGCCACCTGATTTAATCAACAACCACTAGTGCTGAGATGCAGAAAGGGGGAAAATGGAGGAATTATGGATCAACTCTGTCTTTTCAGATGACAGTCACAGGACAAAGGTTAGGCTTTGACTGCAGACTTCAGCTCTGCTCTGGCCAGCGCTGTTCACCACAGGCCTGAGTGGGTTATCAAAAATAAAGCTGGTGGCTGGGTGCAGTGGCTCACATCTGTAATCCCAGCACTTTGGGAGACTGAGGCAGGTAGAACACCTGAGGTCAAGAGTTCGAGACCAGCCTGACCAAAGTGGAGAAACGCTGTCTCTACTAAAAACACAAAAAATTAGCCAGGCATGGTAGTGGGAACCTGTAGTCCCAGCTAGTCGGGAGCCTGAGGCAGGAGAATGGCGTGAACCCGGGAGGCAGAGCTTGCAGTGAGCCGACTTCGCGCCACTGCACTCCAGCCTGGGCGACAGCGAGACTCCATCTCAAAAAAAAAAAAAAAAAAAAAAAGAAAAAATCTGGTGATGGTTCTCTCTCTGCCTTACTCCTTAGAGAGTATTTTCCCCTCCACCACTTGGAGCTCTCAGGGCCAGGGAAATGGTAAGATGCCATTTATAATCAGGCTGGAGACTGTCCTCAGTCAAGAAGGATGTAGAGAAAGACCTACTTCCAAGTACATAAAGCCAGCTGGATGAGAACCTTCAGATTGTACCTATAAAGAAGGGAATAAAAAGAGGAAAAGGGGCCGGGCGCGGTGGCTCACGCCTGTAATCCCAGCGCTCCGGGAGGACGAGGTGGGTGGATCGCGAGGTCAAGAGATGGAGACCGTCCTGGCTAACACGGTGAAACCCCCGTCTCTACTAAAAATACAAAAAAATTAGCTGGGCGTGGTGGCAGGTGCCTGTAGTCCCAGCTACTCGGGAGGCTGAGGCAGGCGAATGGCGTGAACCCCGGAGG